TGTGGACTGAAACCTCCAAAAACCAAAGAAATAAACCTTTCCTTTCTCAACTTGGGCTTCAGGTATTTTGTCTCAGAAACAAGTAAAAAATAACTAAGACAGTAGTTAATGCAGGTCTCATGTTAGCTTGGCCTTGGATGTCCTTCAGAAGAGCCTGTCCTCTGAAGATGTAAAAGCTTGGCTGTGGGGGAATCTAGGATCACTAACATCTTCTGACAATTGCTGGCTATACTGGTAAATGACTACTGATATGAACTGATGGACTATAATGAGTTTAAATTGGAGTTCTCCTCAATGCTTCCCCACTTTAAGCTGGCTACCCATCCTGGGAGTCAACAAAACAAAAAAAGAGAGAGATGTTGGAAAGGGTTGAAGATGAATACATGTGCAGGGCTGTGATGTGGCCTGGGCATGATTGAATTGATAATGAGGAGACACCTTAAGGAACAAGATAGGCTACAGCTGAGGCCACCTGGAGACTTCCGGGTTTTTTTTTTCTTAATTAGAATCATCTGTTGCTCTGTGGGTTCCTTGAACCTCCGACAAGGGGCCTGCTCAGGTTTTTACCATTGTCCACTCACTTCCTTGCTTGTTCTGATTAAATATAGGCTGCCTAGTGACAGGTGGCTGGCTGGTTAGCAGATTTATGAATTCTGAAGAAGATTTCACTCTTCCTGTTGCCCTCAAGACAATGCCACTTTTCTGATTCTTTTGGTCCTTTGCTGTGCACTTTTTGGGGGCTAGATATTTAGGCATAGGCCCAAACAGAAAATTAACTTTCAGATAGGATAACTGTAAGTTTCCTGAAAATTTTGTTGCATGTATATTTAATTTACCTGTAGATGGAAGTGTTATTATCAACAAATATATTGCTATGTTATCAACATATGCTACCTTATTAACATATTGAGGGGTATTATAGTGATTTCTCAGAAATCATGATTATACACCTCTTTACATCATTGTGAGTATTCTGCATAACTTTTCTAAGTCAGTACTTATATGTGAAATTGGTAGATAATAAAGGAGGCCTCCATCAACTTGCTGAGTACTATGTAACATGAGTCTCGGAGTTTCTAGCACTTCATTTGTTTTAACCATGAATTCTTCACCAGATGCCAGTTATGCCTGCTTGAAAGAGAATAGATTGTACAGGAAATTATGTGGTTTTGATCTCCAAAGAATTGTTGGAGTCAAACAGAAACAGGTAAAAGCTAAAAAACTGTTAGGGTTTTCATAGATTAAAAACTCATTTACATAATTAGTTGAAGAATGAGTTGATGCATTTGGAAGATTATTCAGAACATACAGCTAGCTAAATTATATTAGATATTTATTTCTTTACTTTTATACAGGTACAAAATACCTGACTTACAGAATTTAAAATAAATATATTTTTTATCTCATTGTTTCCATGAGGGAAGTTTGGTTTTGACTGTTTCCAAAGCATAAATATCTTGGAAAAAAGTGAAAAGGAAAAGGCATCTTTTTTTATGAGGTCAAGGTGGCAGAGAACAGTTTCAGAACCTGAGAGGAAGGATCCAGGGATCAGATTTGGTTCATGAGTCCCAACACATATGGCTGCAGTGTATACATATAGAAGCAATCATAGTAATATCCTACACATTTCTGAAGCCAAAAAGGTGTTAAAAAATGGATCACTGGGTTTAGGAAATATACAACTTCTAGGAATGTTAAAATCCTGAACAGCTGAGTGCCGATTAGTGACAAGGGAACTATATGGCAAGGGGAACTTAGCGTGTGAAGTCCTCGGGTATCCCTGTCTCATCAGAAGGAAATGTTCAATTGGATTAGGAATTTTGTTCCATTTCAGCAATAATTGTCACCCCCATGCTTGGCAATATGATGACTTTCAGAATTCACATTTTTATGAGTCCGAATGAGTAGCAAGCTTGTCTTGGAGAACTGATGCTTGCTTTTATTTCATCCTTACTCTGTTGCAGACCATTACTATCATTTAAATGTGAAGTCTTCACTTTACACAGTAACTGTGCTCCTTTTGTGTTCACATACTGGGTTTCTAGGTGGAAAATTAATAGAAATCAGTGAAAATCATTAAAATAAAGTCTGCTGCCTCTAACACAGACTTCTGACTGTGTGCTGTTGTCTCCTGCCCTGGCCTGTTCTGAGAATATTTTCTGACATCAGGGGATTTTTTATTCCTGGAGGATTGAACTTGAATCCTGAAAACATTTGCAGCCCATTATGGAAAGAGTCCACTGATCCTCGAATTAAATCAGGGGTAGCCATGAAATGGCAGGGATAAATAAGAAATTTAGAGAAGACCTAACACCACCACTTCTCAAAATTTAATGAAATCAAATGGGAAATGATACTACTCAATTCATTCCTGGAAGCAGGCATTACCCTGATACCAAAACCAGAGAACAATCCAAATAAGAAAGAGAATTACAGACCATTCTGCCTAGTGAACATTGAAGCAAAAATCCTCAATAAGATACTGGCAAACAGACTGCAGGATATCATTAACAAGATTTTACAACATGATTAAGTGGAATTATTCCCTGGGGTGCAGGGGTGTTTCAACATACATATAATACACTGTATTGACAAATCCAAAAGCAAAAATCATTTGACCTTTTCAATAGATGCAGAAAAAGATTTTGCCAAAGCCCATCACCTATTCATAATAAAAAACCTATAAAAATTGGGAGAGATGATCTTTATCTCAATCTGATAAAAGCCTTTTATTAAAAACCAACAGTCAACCTCATACTAAGTGGACAAAAACTGAACGCTTTCGGTCTAAAATCAGGTACAAAACAAGGATGTCTACTGTCTCCACTCTTACTCAATATAGTCCTGGAAACTAGCTGGAGCAATTAGACAAGAGAAAGAAATAAAAGGTATAAAGATAGTAAAGGAAAATCTTAAACTATCATTATTTGCAGAAGACATGATACTCTACTTAGAAGACCCTAAAAATTCCACCAAAAGACTTCTAGTTTAAGAAGCAAATTCAGTAATATAGCTGGTTACAAAGGCAACACTCAACTATCAATAGACTTCATAAACAAGAATAAAAAACTCATGGAAAGAGAAATCAAGGAAACAATAACTTTTACAATAGCATGCAACAAAATGAATTACTTAGGAATCAATCTAACAAAGGATGTAAATGACCTCTACACTGTAAACTACAGTACTCTCAACAAGGAGATTGAAGATGATATTCTAAAATGAAGAGCTATCCCATAGTCTTGGGTAGGGAAATCCAATATAGTGAAAATGACCATACTTCCAAAGCTATTGTACAGATTTAGTGCAATCCCAATCAAAACCCAGTAGCATATCTCAAAGAATTACACAAAATAAATCCTAAAATTCATCTGGAACCAGAAAAGACCTAGAGTGGCAAAGATGATCCTGGGCAACAAAGAAAAGATAGGGTTCATCAAAATACCTGACTTGAAATTATACTATAAAGGTATTGTGATTTTTAAAAAAGGTGTGGTACTGACAAAAAACAAAACAAACAAAACCAGACAGAAAGATCAAAGAAACAAATTAGAAGATGGAGAAACAACCCCAGACCACTAAACCATCTTATCTTTGACAAAGGTGCCAAACAGAGTCATTGGAAGAAAAGCAGCCTCTTTAATAAATGGTGCTGGAAAAACTGGCTCTATAGGTTCTGAATATTATCTTTCAACGTGTATTAAGCTAAGATCAGAATAGATCAAAGATCTTATATTAAAACAGAAACATTAAATCTGCTGCAAGATAGAGTAAGTAAAATTCTTGAAGAGATTGATGTAAGCAAAGACTTTATGAAGAAAACATGGATTGCACAGCAAAAATCAAAGAGAATTAAGTGAGAATCTCACCCTACTGAAAAACTTTTTAACAGCAAGAGAAATCACTAACAGACTGAAGAGACAACCCACAACGTGGGAGAAAATGTTTGCCAACTGATCCTCAGACAAAGTGTTACTATAATAGAGTATGGAAAACTAAAAAAAATTCAGTTTTCCCAGATTTAAAGACCCAATCCAAAAATGTGCATCTGAGGTGAAATACACAGTTCTCAGATGAAGAAATAGAAACAGCAAATAAATATGTGACAAATTGTTCTGCATAAATTATCATTTTACAATTGCAAATTAAATAACACTGATATGTCACCTTGCCCCAGAAAACATGCCTACTGTCAAGAAATCAAACAATAACGAATGCTGGAGGGGTTGTGGGGGGAAAAGGAACCCTTCTCCACTGTTGGTGGTAAAGCAACCACTGTGGAAATCAGTGTGGAGGTTTCACATAAACTAGGTCTACAGGCCCACTCAACGCAGCTATTCTCCTTCTGGGTATTTACCCAGAAGAATAAAAATCATCATACCACAGTGATATATGTGCACCATGTTTATAGCAGCACAGTTTGTGGTAGCCAGATCTTGGATGGAATGCAGGACCTCTAGCTTGCCAGCCAGGCGCTTAAGCTAAATCCCTGGACCACTGTTGGGAGCCGGAGCCAGGGGTCCTGCAGTAACCTCAGCCTTCTAGACAAAGAATCACGCTGATATTAACCTGGGAATAACTTCATAACATAAAAAATAGAAGTTTCTCATGGGCCCAAGAACATGTTTACCTCCTGGGCTGCACAACATATAAGTTTCTCATCGGCCCAGGAGCATGTTTACCTTTGCTGTGTGCACAAGAAAGTGTCCTGAAGTGACTTGTACTGCTCTTTGTTTTGAAACATTATAAAAACTCTGTAGTCCTTCAATAAATTGCCTTTTGCCTCCTGAGCAACTGGTCTACCTGTGTCTTCAGTCTCTCGCCTGACTCCTTCCCCGCAGCTGGCTGCGGCACCTGGCACCTGGCGCCCAAACTTGGGGCTTGGAATATAAGCATTCGGAGCATTTTTCCAGTGGAAGGAGAATCGGGAGTTGCGAGAAGACCACTGCCACAGAGGACCCGGGTAAGTGAAAAGTGAAAGTAGCAGGGAGTGGTATATAAGCAGGGATTGAGAACAGGTAACTCCCCGTCATCAGAACGGGAACTTTTTGAACAAGTTATTTCCTCTTTGTAAAAGAGTAGGGGCATTCCTGTAGCTAAGCTTCAAATTCATCGGTTTGTTGATTTTGTGCATCAGGTTTGCCCCTGGTTTCCCGAACAGGGAATGGTTAATGTTGAGACTTGGAAAACAGTAGGAGAAAAGATTAAAGATTATTATTGTGCTTGGGGTCCTGAGAAGGTTCCTGTGGATGTGTTTCCAATTTGGACTCTTATTAAGGACTGTTTAAAAGGGGACTATGAGTCTAGTAAATGGGAAAAAAAAACTCGAGAAAGTTTTATAAGAAAAACCAAATCTTCAGAGAATGTGGCATCCTCCTTATACCCACCCCCCCGCCCTCTGCTCTGCCACCACTCTCTGAGCCACCCTGTTACAAGCAACCCAGCTAGCTCAGTCAGTAGAGCATGAGACTCTTAATCTCAGGGTCGTGGGTTCGAGCCCCACCTTGTGTCAAAAGTTTGTACATGCAGCCATTGCCAATACCAGATCTAAATTTGCCTCTGCCACCATTATTCATTATATGGATGATATTTTAATAGCCCATCAAGATTCTGAGATGCTTTTGCAAGTATATGCCTCTCTTCATCAGGATTTAACAAATAATGGGCTGGTCATTGCACCTGAGAAGGTCCAAACTTCACCTCCTTTTTCTTATCTAGGTTTTCACTTATATCCACAGCATTTTTCTCCTCAATGATTGTCTGTTAATACTTCTCACTTGTGTACGTTACATGATTTTCAAAAACTCAGGCGAAATTAATTGGATCCGGCCATCTCTAAAGTTAACTACTCAAGACCTCCACCCATTGTTTTCCTTATTAGCTGGAGATTCTGACCCAAGTTCACCCCGCCAAAAGATGGCAGAAGTTCCCAAAGCTCTTGAACTGGTTAATAAGGCTCTTCAAAGTGCACAGCTTCATTATTGTGATTTTTCCACTCCCTGGTCTCTTATCATCATACCCACATCTTTTTCCCCTACAGGTGTGTTGTATCAGCAGGGAGTTCTCTCATGGATTCATGGTTCGCATTCCCCGAAAAAGGCTCTCCCCCCTTATGCCTCTTTGGTTGCAGAAAGGATTATGTAAGGAAGAAAATTGTCTATAATGCATTTAGGAAGAGACCCTCACTCTATTATAATCCCTTATACATCTGAACAGCTCAAATGGTTGCTTAATATGACTGATTATTTTCCTCTTTCTCTAGCATCCTATACCAGTCAAATCCAACACCATTATCCCAAGGATAAAATTCTTCAATTTGCCTCCAAAGTTACCTTTTCATTTCCTCAAATCATACGCATGAAACCCCTTGTTAATGCTATTACTTTATTTTCAGATGGAAGCTCCAATGGAAAAGCTACTTTAGTATCCCCAAATCAAACTTATGTATGGCAATTGAGGAGTACTTCAGCTCAGGAGACTGAACTTTATGCTGTTCATCAGGCTTTTATTCTTTTCTTTGATGTTCCCTTTAATTTGTTTTCAGACAGCCAATATGTAGTACAAGCCTTGTCTGTTTTAGAATGCATCCCTGTTATCAACACTGCTAATATCCTTGTTGCACAGTTATTTGGTCTTATTCAATCATCTTTACATTCTCGATCTGCACCTTGTTTTGTAGGACATTCGCAGTCACTCTAATCTTCCAGGTGCTTTGACTCATGGAAATGCAATTGCAGATCGAGCCATGCATATTGGACTGTCTGCTGTTTCGCAAGCACAACAGTCACATGCTCTTCATCACCAAGCTGCACAGGTTTTACGTTATCAATATGGTATAACACGGCAGCAGGCATGAGAAATTGTTAAAAACTGTCCCTCATGTGAGCCTCTCCTTCCAGTACCGCATTTTGGAGTCAACCCTCGAGGACTCCATCCAAATGACTTCTGGCAGATGGATGTCACTCATTATCCTTTTTTTGGGTCATTAAAATACCTACATGTTACCTTTTCTCATTACATGCTTGTTTCACCTATGACTGGAGAAACTGCTCCCCATGTAATACAACACCTACTATATTGTTTCTCTATCCTGGGCATTCCTCGATCCATTAATACGGATAATGGCCCAGCATATGTTAGTAAACCCTTTGCCAAATTCTGTCAGACTTTCCACATTAAACATGTTACTGGACTGCCTTATAATCCTCAAGGACAAGGAACTGTTGAACTTGCTAATCTCTCACTAAAAAAACACATTAAAGAAATTTAAAAGGGGGAGATGGTATAAGTATTCTCCCAAAACACTTCTTAACCATGCTCTTTACATTCTTAATTTTTTAACTTTTGATGCTTCCAATAGATCTGCAGCTGAGAGACATTGGTCTCCTGATTTGCCCTCCAAGCCAATGGTTTATTGGAAAGACCCATTAACTAATCTATTACATGGCCCTGACCCAGTATTGATATGGGGAAGAGGGTATGTTTGTGTTTTTCCCACAGACGCTGATACACCCAGGTGGATCCCAGAATGCTGTGTATGACTTGCCCAAGAGCAAGATAGAAAAATTGCGCAGGACGATGCTTCCACTAACCATGACCTCGAGGACAAGAACAATGACCAGAAGGTCTCCTGCGACAAGAGATGAAACTCTTCTGTTTTTGGCTCAACTGTTAAGCATTATTTGGGTTTTGCATATATTTTATATGCCTGTTTGGGTGGATAATTATTGGGCATTTGTACCTAATCCTCCTTTGTTGCACCCTATGTCATGGGGCGACGACCATGATGTTACTGTTTATGTAAATAATACCCGTGTCTTAAGTTTTCCTTCTTCCACTCATACACAACCTATCTCTATTGTATATAATTACACTGAAATGTCTGCTTCATTACCCCTATGTTTTTCTAAAACAAATAAGAATTGTACATTAATAGAAAGATATTCTGATTGGGATGGAAACTACTAATGGAATGCACTGGGGAGTATATATGATGTATGTATTTCGCAACAGTAGTGAAACTAGAGTGGGAAAAGGTAATCCCCCTGAGCATATTCCAGAATGTAGACAAAAATATCCAAGCAAAAGTGTATATGGACCCTCATGGCGTTTGTGCCATCATAATTATATGTTACAAAGATCTATGTGATTGGAGTGATTACAGAGAAACAACCTACAGGCCCCGAAATTTATTATATGGAATATGGACAAGGAATAACATCACCTTTTTTACATGCTGTGGAAGTTGGTTGCGGCAATTGATTACATTGCTGTTACAAAGGAAAAAGTTGTATGGCAACATATAGGGACACAGGATGCTATTTCTGTTAATGGCACAGTAAAAAATGTAACTATCATAGCTTGTATTTCTGAACCATATGGTTTTATAAGTGGAGAACTTACTGTAAATAAGAACAATGAATCTTATGAAATTACTTGTAAATATTGCATCTTATCCAATTGTGTTAATGCTTCACGAAACCACTCATCCATATTACTGGTCAAACAACCTCCATTTGTATTTTTTACCTGTTAATATCACCACAGAGTGGTATCAAGATCCTTCTGTGATTATTTTGCAAAAATTAACTAAGCTTTTAAATCAGGCCAAACGATTTGTTGGGATGTTAATGACTGGAATTGCTGCACTTATTACTTCGATAGCCTCCACTACAATGTCCGTAATATCTCTTACAGAAAGTGTGCAAACTGCATCCTATGTTAATGAGTTATCCCATAATGTTTCTTTGGTTTTGAAAATACAGGAAAATTGGGATAGTCTGACTGAACAAAAGTTAAATGCTCTACAAGATACAGTAATAACCTTAGGAGATCAAATATATGCTTTGCAAGTACAGTCTTCTTTGAAATGTCATGCCTTATACGAACATATTTGTGTTACTTCACATAGATATAATGAAAGTGATTTACCTTGGGATAGGGTGAAAAATCATTTGCTAGGAATATGGCATAATTCCAATACTTCTCTAGATTTGCTTAAGTTGCATAAGACTATCCAAGATATAACCAATGCACCAGCAATAAAAGTTGACATAGCAAAAGAAACTGAGCAAATATTCAACGCATTAACCAGCCATTTTCCAGGCCTCACGTGAATTTTGCATTTTATCATTCTAGCTGGTATTGGAGCTCTAGCATTTATTGTCATGATAACATTTTTTCCATATTTTGTGAGAACTGTTGTTGGGCAAATGAGAAATGTGCGTTTTGACTTGAAACGTTTTAAGTTAGAATCAACTGCTAATGAAATTCCCATGCGACACATTGTCTAAGAAATAAGGGGGATATGTTGGAAGCAGGAGCCAGGGGTCCTGCAGTGAACGGCTGTGGGAAACCACACACTGAAGCTGGACCTCATCCATTCCCTCAGCCTTCTAGACAAAGCATCGCGCTGATATTAACCTGGGAATAGCTTCATAACATAAACCATAGAAGTTTCTCATGGGCCCAAGAACATGTTTACCTCCTGGGCTGCACAACATATAAGTTTCTCATGGGCCCAGGAGCATGTTTACATTTGCTGTGTGCACAAGAAAGTGTCCTGAAGTGACTTGTACTGCTCTTTGTTTTGAAACATTATAAAAACTCTGTAGTCCTTCATTAAATCGCCTTTTGCCTCCTGAGCAACTGGTCTCCCTGTGTCTTCGGTCTCTCGCCTGACTCCTTCCCCGCAGCTGGCCGCGGCACCTGGCACCTGGCGCCCAAACTTGGGGCTTGGAATATAAGCATTTGGAGCGTTTTTTCCAGTGGAAGGAGAATCGGGAGTTGCAAGAAGACCGCTGCTACAGACGACCCGGGTAAGTGAAAAGTGAAAGTAGCAGGGAGTGGCATATATGCAGGGATTGAGAATGGGTAACTCCCCATCATCAGAACGGGAACTTTTTGAACAAGTTATTTCCTCTTTGTTAAAGAGTAGGGGCATTCCTGTAGCTAAGCTTCAAATTTATCGGTTTGTTGATTTTGAGCCCGAGCCAATCAGTGATGAAGAGGCGGGCTGTAAGAACTGTCCAATCAGGAGGGCCAATGTAGGCGGTCTCTTCCGGTGTCATGGCGTCAATTGCAAGGCCAGGGCAAAAAAGGGAGCGCTAGATGTTTGCTAGACAACTGTTTTTTGCTTCTGTTCTCCGTGGACTGCTTAGAAATAACCTGGGAGACCTCCAAATTACATAATGGTGATGTTATGGGATGGGAGCAGTGAAATGGGGTGGAATCCGGTTGAGACCAGTTAGAAGTGGTGAGAAGGGATTGGGGGTTTAGCTCAGTGGCATAAGCACCTGCCTTGAAAGCAGGCAGTCATGAGTTTGATCCCCGGTACCGATAAAAAGGAAAAAGACAAAAAAAAAAAACACAAAAAACAAAAAACAAAAAACAACAACAACAAAAAAAAACAGTGGTGAGAAGCAGCTGTGCTGTCTAGAGCCTGTGTTCTTAGCCTCAGACCCTAAGGAGCTCTAGTGCTAGCAGGGAGTCATCCTGTGTCCCTTTTACCTCTAGCTGGGGTCAGGATATTTCTGGGTCCCTAGAACGCTGTCACCACTGTGATACCACCAGGCCACAATGCCATTTTTGAAATCGCCTGCTGCCCTTGCTCCTCCAACAGTCTGGACCCAGGACAGGGCATGAGGAGACCCTGATTCCGAAGTGGTTTCAAGTTGGGTGCAGCTGTAAAAAGCTAGATCTCTGCTCTCATTCCTGTCAGCAACAGATCTGAAAGCCAGAAGTTTATAAATGTCTGTGCTGCAGGACCTCATAGCCACAACTGCTCTCCTTAAGCTTATGCATTTATGTATTTTGTGATCGTCTAAATTTATACTATGTTCTCATATTTCCATGCTCATTAAAGGTGGAGGCAAAGGTTCTGAGAATTCAAAGATGTGTAGTGATGTGCCTCAGTGGAGGAAGGCTCCCCAAACACCGCATGAACTCCTGTGTATTATACAGAACAATGCAAAGAATTTCTGAACATACTTGATGTGACACATGTGCTCATAGACAATGTTTGGGAGAACATCCATAGAGGTTTAAATTTTGAGAAAATGAAGCAGATATAAATGTGTCATCAAGGGCAGGGAAAAGTGTGTTTACTAAGGACAAATTCCAGAAAGGGCTGCCTGTTAAATTCTCCTTGAAAAATGCCTAAATTTAGTTATTTGCATATATATATATATATATATATATATATATATATATATATATATACACACGTGATATCCTTCTGAATGGAAAGGAATTTGGGTGTCATATCTGAATTAAGAGGTGATTTAATAGCTTGGTTGATCATATACATTGTTTAAATATGGAAATTCTCTGTAATGGACTTTACTAATTCATGTAAAGAGATTCCCTAAATTGAAATTGTGCAGGGATATCAGTAGTTAAGGCATGAATGGTTTTCTGCTTAGGGTGGATCAGACAAGCTTGGAAAGGATGTGGAAGTGACTAGCAGGACACAGTGTGCCAATAGCAGGACATACAACAGAGAGGGTCTTCCCTGAAAGTCAGGGAAGCATGAAGTTAAAGCATGAAGTTCTTAGGGTAAGCATGAAGTTAAAGTTGGCTTATGATTTCTTCCTTGAGGTGAATAACACCACCTCTGGTAAGAATCACTATTCCACATCCTTGTCAACCCATGAATCCTTTGTTCTTTACTTGAGATCTAGTTTTGATTATCTCTAATTATGACCCAGTGTCATAAACGAGAAATTTGAATTTTTTTTGTAACAGGGATCAAACTCATGATCTCAAGCTTGCGAGGTAGGTGTTCATGCTGCTGAGTTAAATACCCAGCTCTGAAAGTGTTTTCTGTATACTATGTATGATATCAACATTGTTCCTCAGAAAATGTTGAATATTAGGGAATTTTCCTATATTGTATGGATATAATTTTTAAAGCAAACCAAAGGTGTCGTATGCAGTTACTTTTCAAGTTTCACATTGTCTTTGAGGTGTCTCAGTCAGGGTTTCTATATTTCAGACAGCTCTGTAATTTAGGCTAGCCCCAAACTCTAGGAAGGTTTCCTGCATCAGCCTCCCAAGATATATTTCTTATATCTGAATGGAGAGTGATCACTTGGTGATCACTTGGTGACACTGAGCTATAATTTGAAACTTGTACCTGGTTTCATTGTTTATACATTTTTTACATACAGCAGTTTTCAATGAACATGTGAGTTATTATTTATGTATCGTATTTGATGTTATTTATGTTTGGTTCTATGAATCCAAATTTAAATATCAAAATGCTGCTTAAGTATATTAAGAACAAAGGACTCAGTGGCCTAAATAAGATTTGAAGAGATATCATTGTTAGTACATCAAAGTGATTCATGAGATATTTGTCTGCCTCTGTTTTTAATGGATGCTGGTCCTGCAGGCTTTCACTATGAGCTCTGCTTTAGAGACAGTGCACAGGGACTCTTGCAGTGACTCACCATAAGAATCAGTGCTCCTATTTGGCTGTTATATTAGCTGTGAGTTGCAATATAGCATTATTTGCTGTCTCAAAAAATGTGTATATACAAAAATTAATCCCCAAGATGTAGAATTAAGATTTGAAGAAATCAGTCTCCATTCAGCTGTTTTGGTTTTATTTGTTTAGTTTAGTTTTGTTTTATTGAGACAAGTTTTCTCTATGTATATGAGCTAGATTTGAACCCTTTATGGAGCACAGAATTGCCCTAACCTCAAAGCAGCACTCCTATCTCAGCGTCTTGAGTATGGGATTATAGATATGTGTGTTTTTACTCTAAAAAATATTGAGACTTGTAACTTAGCTGTGTTGTAGGTTGGCTTAATAGATGCCATCTTGAGCTTTGCATTTAACTAGTGCCCTGTATTTTACTCAGAAAAATGGAAAATCACTCAGGGTATAAGTCCAAGGAGAAAAGCAAAATGAGCTGTACCCAAAGAAAAAAATTATCCTGCTCAACAAAAGAAGCAGAATACAGTTGTCATTCAAAAATTATTATAAGATTCTAGCTAAATGATTTCCAACAGGATCTTTTTGTGATTCTATCTTTAAAACATCTCTAACTTTCCAGTTCGGAGCCTCTTGTTTAGATCTTGAAATGGGGTTAGGGTTTCTGTATACAAGTGGTGCTGAGCCCAGCTAATGAAATTCCACATTTCTCAATCGGGTTGCTTGGCTTCCTATATTATTGTTCACAAAATCACCTTGAGCTGCAGAAACCTTACTGACACAAGCAAACCTCAGGATTAAATGACCATGCCCCTGAAGTGAAAGAATAGTTGTGAAAAGGAGAAGAGAAAAAGACAGATGCCATGTGCTATAATGCCCATCTCTTTTCCCCAGCAATGAAGAAGCTGAAACAGAAGAATGGCCATGTATTCAAAGACAGCCTAACCTACATAGTGAGTGCAAGGCTGGCCAGAACTCTAAAGTGAGACTATGTCTTTAAATCAAAAAACTAAAATGAAAAAAAAAAACAACCAATTAGACAGAAAGACTATTGAAAACACAATAATAGAGCTGAGTGAAATTTGACTTATGTAAAATGGGAATTATTGAATGATGCTGCAGATGAAAGAAGGCCATGTAGTGGCATCCAGGAGGCAGTGGCAAACACATACTTAGGAATGGCACCTATTGTGCTACAGGACAACAGTGACCTCCTTCCTGCAATACATTTGCAGTTCATTAGACTGAGGACTTCTAAAAGCTCATTGAAATTTTAAACTCAGGGCAAACAAGCAGCTTGAAATTCTGGCTTTGGAACAATGCCTTTAGCAGACACTTCATATTTAAATTGAGATAAGAGAAATATAATCCTGCCCTGTTTGATATCAAATGCATGAAGTTTTATGACTCACAAAACTGAGAAATGAAGTCATAAATCAAAAAAAAAATTCAAAAATTTTCTCAGAAAAACAGAGAGAAAAATAGCCCTGAATTATCAGGAGTGGTCTTCGGTGTTTTGGCCATAGACTTATTGTCAGGGGTCATTTATACACGAAAGTCACAATGTGGGTACAGTGTGGGTCTCAGACTACAATCAACCTATAAGCTTATAGCTGCTTAACTAATGTTATTCAACAAGGAACAAGTCAGCCAGAAAAGGTATGTGGAAAGAGCCAAGGCATTTTGTGGGAACAATAGTCCAGTTGTTCTGGTCATTGAGTATGGTAATTGATGCCTATCAGGACTTCGTGGAGGGGGTGGTGGTAACTGTACTACATTTCAAGCTGCTGTTTTTCTCTTCAGGAGCATGTAGACCTAGTCACTGCATCTTCACATTCAGGTCGGGCTTTCTTCAGCTGTGCCTGTAGCAGTGATTGTTGTATTTAGTATTTTGCATTGACTATTTGAGGTTCCAGTTCCTCTCTGATTGTATATCAATTTCTGTCTACCTTGACATCCTTTGTAAAATCACAGTTCTGTTTGAATGAATAAACTGAAACATTCATTAATACAGGCCAGGGATTTAGCTCAGGAGGCAGAAACGCCTGCCTGGAAAGTGTTAGGTTGTAGCTTTGATCCCTGGTACCTAAAACAAAAAGTAATTTAAACCGCAAGGAAAGAAAATAATTTCATTTGTGAAAATGTAGGTTTACAAAATTTATAACTAAATATGTCAATGGCAAATTAAACATTGTTAATAGTCATATTTACTATCTAAAGTTGTTGGGTCTGGGGATTGATCAGAGGTATACAAGGAGCTGCCTGGAGAGCACAAGGTCATGAGTTCAATCCCTCATACAGAAAAAAAATCACAGTTGTCAATGATGCAGTGCTGTGAGCACATTTATTGAAATGGAAACTTGGTATTTAATAGGCTCAATGTTTCTTTTGTGGTCTATGAAATACCTGCAGATAACATGGCAATTACAGTGAATGATTTACTGTCCCTTATAGGATTGCTATTTTCTGAGTTGTTTTTATTTTTTGTTTTCCCACATACTTGAAAGTTGAAAATGTTGGCTGGTTCTAGGTAGAAAAACTGTGATAATCATTTTTTTCAATTTAATGATATATTTCCCTATATTCATTAAGAACATTTTATTTGCTACAGTTACTCCAAATCAAATTGATAAACAATTCTTAAATTTACAGGCAGCTGAGTTAGTTAGAAATAGAGGCAACCATACCATGATACAGTTAAACGAAATTCCTGAACTTCTTTGTCTGGTATGAGTTTGTGTTCTCTAAAATGCA